TGTGGGGTTGATGGGGGTGCTCATTTTTGTCCCGTCCGCTGTCTCCTGGCCACAGGGGCAGTCGGGAGCCTCTTCCGTCCTGAGGTTTGGTTCGGCTGAGACTACTGGGTGGAGAGAGAAGGGGGAGGAGAAACAGTCCCTCCGCAGCGAGCGGAAGCTTGAGCTTCCTGCAGGGGGCGATGGGGATCCCTGGGGAGCTTGGGACCGGAGGAGAGAGACTGCCATGTTGAGATGAGGGCTGTGGCTGTGCAGAGGTGGGGTGGGAATGCCAGCTGGGAGGCAGCCAGGGAGGCTCTGCTTTCTGAGCGCCAGGTGACAGACACTCAGGGCCCTGTGTGCGGGTTTCAGAGTGTTCGATTCGTCCTCAGGAGACCGGTGCAGGCTTGCACTGACCCAAGGGACCCAGTGTCCAGCAAAGGAAGTGGTGGTGCAAGCCCAGGCCTTTGGCCCCACTGTCACATATATTACACCACCTGGAAGCTCCCGGCGAGATGGCAATCAGCCTGCCTTTCAGCTCGGAGTCTACAGACTGTGGGGAAGAGGCGCCGTCCTTCAGGGTGGGGTGTACGCCCTGCACGGTGCTGTGTCCCCTCCGTAAGGACCTGGGTGTGGGAACCAAGGCAAGGAGAGCAGGGGTGGCCCCACTTATCATCACTCTTAGGGGACTTCGTATTTGTCGTTCTCACAATTCTGGCCTCTTCTAGTGATCCCGAATCCCAGAATGCGACGCTTTCAGAGAGGGATGCAGGCGGAGTCTCCTTAAAAGTTAAGTTACAGCTTCTTGTGCCAAGAGACCAGCGGGCGAGGAAAGACGATCCATGAGAGGGGACAGGGAGGCTACTGCGCGGTGCAGACCGGGAGGAATGTTTCGTACCTACCAGGACCACTGGGTGTCCCTCTGCCCAATTTGATGGTATGTGGACAAGTACAACAGGCGAGCCCTGGGAAGGGCACGATGGTCAGGGCCTCTGAAGCCTCGACGGTGAAAGTCTGGGTCACTCCACCAGGTAACTCACCTGGAACAGCAGAGGTGCTAAGGATGGGGAACACACCCTCGTGCATACGGTGGATGACTCCCCCGTGAGGACCAAGGCTCTCATTCCCTCGGCCGCTGGAAGTGTCGCAGGCTGACGGCTCAGAGGTAAGCCCCTCGGTGAGAACTGCCCTGAGCTGAAAGGGCTTCCTCTCCCTACTACGCCCCCTCCCAGGGGCGGCCCGCGGTCAGCGACGGGTCTGTGCAGCAGGACAAAGGCTCCGCCCACCTGTCTCAGTTCACGACGTCCCTGAAGGGCCATCCCATCCCCTGGGTTTGCCTGATGCTCGCTCCATTGTAGCCCCTCCAGTTCAATCTCTCCTCCTCCATAAGCCACCTGCATGCAAATATCCGTCTCACCACGTTTCCTGGGAACCCAAGCTACACAGAAGCCGAGCCACACTGAGCACTAATCTGCTACCCACGCTCCGGCTTTCTCGTGTCCTTGCTTCGGCGGCGATGTTCCTTCTCCCTGGAACGACTCCTTGCGTTCCGTCGGGCCAGCTACTCCACCTGAAACAACAGTCACAGACCTTAGCAGTCGTCCCGACCCCTCCAAACCCCTCCGTGAGCGCTGTGCATTCGCCGTTGAATCACTTATAGCTGCCTTTTCCAAGAAGACTCCGCAGTAGCTCAGGGCACAGCAGAGGAAGAGCTCCGTAATCACACCTTGACGTAGTACGAAACATCCACGCAAAAAGTCACGTGGAACACAAAACCTGCCCGCGCTCCGCCGCCTAAGGAACGCAGCGTGACAACGTAACCGAAACCCCTGCGAACTCCTTGCGGATGGGCCGCTTCGCCCGGAAGGGAACCCAGAGCGCGATGCCCGGCGCCGGCCCGCCCCGGGCACTTCCCCGCGGCGCCGCCAGGTGTCGCCCTCTGATGCCGTCAGGCGCGCTCTCTGCGCGTCACGCGCGCCGCGCCGGAGGCGGGACTTCCGGGCGTGCGGAGGCACAACTTCCGGAGGGAGGCGGAAAAGCTCTTGGGCTCTGCGTTCTGGAGTCCCGGGACGCCTGAGTGGCCACCGGGGGTTCAGGAAAGAGCCGCCCGCGCGGGCCGGCAGCACTCGGGGTGTCGGGCCAGCAGGTCTGAGGGATGAGGAGGGGCCATGGCCAGCGACGGGGCCAGGAAGCAGTTCTGGAAGCGCAGTAACAGCAAGGTCCCGGGCAGGTGGGTGTGACGGGGAGCCGGGTCGGGGTCAGGGGTCAGAGGTCAGGTGGCACGTCGGCTGGCGGGGCTGCGGAGGGGTGACCTGGGCTTTGACGAGATCGCTCCGGGGTGCGAGGGACCTCGGGGTCGGAGCGTGAGGTCTGGGAGGCGACAGTGGCAGCACGTAGGAGCGAGGCTAGGAAGGGCGCGGAGAAGCTGCCGGCAGGTGTGTCCCGAGACCGGCAGCCTCTCCCGCCAGTTCCTCGGCTCCCGGGGCAGCCGAGGGGAACCCACGCGGGTCGTGGTGTGGGGTTCGGTGGGGTCCGGAAACTGGCCGGGGCGCGCTGTGCCTGCGGGGCGGTCGCTTTCTGCGCGGGGCGTGGCGGGTTTGATCCACTTGGCTGGCCTCTCGCCTCTCTGTGGGCTCTGCCTTTGCCTGGAGCGAGGAAAGGGCGTTTGAGGCTCCCTGTGAATGTCCACGTTCCCACTTCTGGCCTCAGAACCGACTCTTGTCTTGAGTCAGCAGCAGGAAGCAAGTTAAAAAAATTAAATAATTGAAGTGCCCGCAGTGACCTGAGTGCACCCTGGAAGCTGTACAGCGCCAAAGGTCTCATCTGATTGGAGTGTCACTGAGCCCAGGCCAGGGCCCTAGGGAACGCAGAGACACTACATGGAAGAGACTTAGGACGAAATCAGCTGCTGGTGAAACTAGATTAGAGATAAACAAACTTCAGGGTTTCTAAACACAGTTTGTTCTGTTTGGAAACTAAAGTCAGATACTGAACATTAAGAACCGTGGCATTAAAATAACTCTAAATAGAATCATTCACGAGCACAGCTTGCTCATGGGTTGCATAATAAACACTTGTGTGAGTGGCGGAATTGTGAGCTTTGGAATTCACTGCGCCCAGTCATGAAGTTTTCCGAGTGATCTGGGAGTTCGCAGGAGCGAGTTACCGGCTGCTCAGCCACGCTTCAGAGGAGCGTCGCCAAAGGTGGCAGGTTTCACTCTACAGGATTGTGCTTGATTGAAGAACAACAAGTTTCATCAAAACCAATGTCAGGGTCCAAGATGATGTGAAAATTCTGGAATGGTGGAGAACAGGAGTTCCCAGTAGTGACAGCGAAAAGTGCTCTGGAACACAGACTCCAGGGAAAAGGAGCCAAGTGGCAGTGGAACTTTGTGCTGTTTTAGGTCTTGAGGTTTTCTTCTTCCTCGGTTTAAATGGACTTTAGTTCTTAAGCGACTGTGTTGAGAATAATCGAGCTCCTGTGTGTGATTGTGATGGCGAATAAACCTTTGGGTTGATGGCTGTGTCTCTTGGTAATCGTCCTTGCATTGGGTTCAGTGGTGTCCTCCCAAAATTCTTGTCTATGTGGAACCTGTGAATGTGACCTTACTTGGAAATAGGGTCTTAGCAGATGTGAGCCAGTTGAAATGAGGTCACACCGGACTGGTGTCCTTATAAGAGGGACATTTGGACACGAGAGAGACATAGGGAAGATGGCAGGTGTGGATGGAGGCAGAGATTGAGCGATGCACTTGGCAAGCCAAGGGATGCCAAGGGTTCCTGGCAACCTGTAAAAGCTAGAGAGGCGAAGAAGGTTCCTTCCTCTCCTGGAGCCAGAGAGCACGGCCCTGCTAGCACCTTGATTTCAAACTTCCAGCCTTCAGAACTGGGAGAGGATAAATTTCTGTTGTTTTAAGTAATTTGTTATGATAGCCACAGGAAACTAATACAGTCCTCCACTTCTCTGAGATCCTGTGTTACTAAAGATAGACTTCCTTTTTCCTTTGATTTCGATACTGTGCTGTGTCTACGGCATTTTTGAGAGCAGCTGCGCGTTACGGAGTGGCGTTTGGAGTGGCGTTTGGAGTGGCGTTAGAAGCAAAGGGGGAGGTTGGGCCCTCCAGCCGCCCTGTGCCGCTCGCCTCCTGCGGCCTTGTCTCTGGCGGCGCCGCTGTCTCAGGCGGCAGGAGGAGTTGCAAAGTGCACATGTCCTCTTCGCTATCAGTAGACCCGTGGCGGTCACCAGCCACGTACGTGATCTTTGCCTGCGCAGGCACAGTGCGGTCCGAGAGCCTGGCCGGACACCTGTGGCTTCGCCAGCTGTCTCGGATGCGTCCCAGGATCGTTAACTCTGAGTGTGTCCTCGACCCAGAGAAACTCGCAGGAGGAGGACTGCACCCACGGTGACGGGCAGAACCGCTCAGGGTCTTTTATTAGAGTACAGCCCTTAATAACGAATCCTTCCTTAGGCATAATTCCCTCTCGTTGCCTCCTTCTGACACTGATGGCTGGTGGTGGCCGAGCCCGTACAGTCTGCTGTTCCGGGTGCTCTACAGTGTCATGTTTCCCTAGAGTTTCAGAGTTTACGTAACGCGCCCTGCCCTCCACGTGCCATTCACCGCGGCGGGCTTGGTTTGAAGCCCCTCGAGTGTCACGCCGAGAAGCGGCAGTGTTTGCGCGTGGGGTCCGAGGCCCGTCGTGACCTGACCCCTGCTTAGCCTTTCAGCTGCATCTGTCGCCCCCCGCTTGCACTCTGCCCTGCGCGTCGCTGGTGGGCTTGGCGCACGTGCCGTGCCATGCCCCGTCAGTTTCACGCTCCCACAGCCGACCAGAATGTACTTTCCTTCCCTGTTCTCCCCTTTGCTGGGGTTATTATTGTAATTTTTTAATTTTGCAGATTGACCTTCCCTGTACCTCCTGGAGCCTTGCCCGTTCCCTGGCAGCCTGGGCTCGCGGGCCCTTCTGTGCGTTGGACTCCACGGGCTGCTTTCTGCATGCTTTCTTCGCTAGACGGTCATCTCTGTGTCGTTAGTGCTGATGCGTGGCGGTCGATCCAAACGATCTTCCGCATTGACCAAGAGAGAGTCAGTCGTTCAGCCACGGCGTCCCACTGCCTGAGAGGTGGTCTTGCCCGTAGACCCCCGTTCCCTGTACACCCCGGTTCTTAGGTAGTGTATTTGGCTGACGCTTTCTCAGAAATTTCTTTTTTTGGACAAGGCGGGGTGCGTGCTGTGGTGGACAGACCTGTGACCAGGAGTCTGTGGTCCGGGTGTGAGCTGCCTTTTTCTAGTAATCTCTGTGTGACCTTCACGGGGTCGCGTCACCCCTGGTGCCGTCCATTCTGCACGTGGAACCTGAGGTAGTTGCATTGGACCAAAGTGGCTGTGACCTGCGGGAGGATATTTGGCCTCGTCCGTTAACGAGAACGAGAGAGACCTCCTGGACGTTTTGAGAGTCTGATAATTTATTAGCGCGACACGCATTTACTTAGCACGCGTCGTGTGCGGTATCAGCTCCAGCTGCTGGAGACACGTCAGGGGACGAAGGAGACCCCAGTCCGAGCTCTCGCAGGGCTTGGGGTGGAGCGGGGGAGGCAGAGGGAATAACGCAGCGGAGGGCGGGCTGGCGGCCGCTGGGGACCGCTCTCAGCGCAGCGCACGGGAGCGGGGCGGATGGTTCCGGCAGGTGCGGTGGCGAGGGCTTCGTGGTGGTCAGGTGGCCAGGGGACCCCCCACAGAAGAGGCTTGCAGGAGGTGAGGGGACGGCCCCTGCGTGCTGGAGGGGGGTGGTCCAGGCGAAGGCCCGGTTCGGAGCGCGGCTGGTGTGGGGCAGGCGGGGGAGCTGGGACCCTGGTCACAGCGAAGCCACGGACTTGCGGTTTTTCTTCTGAGGGATGGGCACCTGTGGCAGGGGTGGTGTGACCTGCCTGGGTGAAGCAGGGTCCCTGGGGCCGCCGTGTGGAAGGCGGACTGGCGGCTGAGAGGGCAGGGCCAGGGAGACCCGTCAGGAGGCCGCGGCACACTGTGGCACACGTCCAGGGAGAGGTGTTGCGATGGTGGCTCATAAGGTAAGAATCAGCAGGTGGGGGATGAGGGCCAGGCAGGGCTCAGCCCCACTCCCCGGGGCCTGCTCCTTCCTGGCCCGGCTTTCTGCCGTTGCAGTTGGCGCGCCTGCCTGGCCTCACTCGGTGCCAAGCCCCCCGCCCCCCCGCACTGGGGCGGGCACAGGCAGCCTCTCCGTGGGTCCCACGCTCGCTGTTCTAGCGCTGCCCGGCAGTGTGCTGTGTTGACAGAGGGTGCGCAGGCAGCTGGGGCGTGCGAGGGGTGACATTGCTTAGTGGCGTGGCAGCAGGAAAGGCCCAGATTCGATATGCAAGGCTGTGGGTGCCTGGGGCAGAGCCGGAGCGGAAGACAGCTTTCAGCTGTCAGCTGTCAGAGCCAGAGGAGTCTGAGCAGATGCGACAGTCAGCCCAGCAGGCCGCCATCGCTCATCAGCGAAGGAGGAGCTTGGCGGGAACTCGGAGGGGTCATTCATTCATTCATTTCGTTCATTCATTCGGAAACTCCTTGGGAGCTCGTTCCGTGTGCCAGGGACCGTGCTGTGTGCTGTGCGGAGATGTGGCCTTCAGAGGCCACCAGGGTGAGGGCGATGGTGAGCAGACGTGTCCACACAGAGTCCGAAGTGCTCCTGAGGTTCAGATCTGGGGGCGATGGTGGAATGACTGGCACCGCATGGGCGGAAGGTCACACCCTCCTGGAGGAGGGGGTCCCGCCTGTGCCAAGCCCAGGGGTGGGGGAGCCAGCCTGCCACTCGCCACTCCAGCCGTGTGGGGGAGCAGTGTGGGGGTGCCAGCACGCCTGGCCCAGAACGCCCTGCAGGGAGGCCCGCAGTGGGGGGCGGGGAGGGAGCCATGTAGGGGGCGTGTTGAGAAGCGGGTGGGAGGTGAGCAGGGCTTAGCACCCCAGGGCTTTGCAGGCCGTGGAGAGGATGTGGGTCTCGGTCCGGAGAGTCACAAGACGGCACAGAAACGGGGAGCTACGACCCCGTTCCTCCTTCTGAAGAGGGGGTGGGCAGTGGGGGGCGGGGAGGGAGCCATGTAGGGGGCGTCTTGAGAAGCGGGTGGGAGGTGAGCAGGGCTTTGTAGGCTGTGGAGAAGATGTGGGTCTCGGTCCGGAGAGTCACGAGACAGCACAGAAACGGGGCGCTACGACCCCGTTCCTCCTTCTGAAG